TGCATATTTTGGAAGAGATGTGGAGTGAAGCGGTCGTGGCCTAATTTAAGATAATATCCCGGAATTTGCCATGGACTGACGATAACCCCTGTCAGGTTGGCCGGTTTTCAAGCCGAGACTTGAACCCGGAAATTCCCGAATACGAAGCACGAATGCTTATGTTTGTGAAATTGGCTTTATTTCTATTATAAGACGATTAGCTGTTATTACACTGCCAGTGATCTAGTAGTTACTAAGTTGTTTAATTTTCGAAAGTCTTTACGTTAGACCCCATCCCAGTAGCTAATACCGACAAAAATAACCAAGCCTTCTGATACCAAAACATTTAAATGGAAATAAGCCAATGAGTTTAATTCAAGCATTGGCGTTCTAAACGTTTCTATAATGCTAAATTAAAATCATTAGAACATTTTGTTTGGATTCTGTTGATTATATTTGTGTTTTGCATATACGAAACACCACATAGTAGATGACAGAGCCACTTTGTGCGTTGTATATACAAAACACCACATAGTAGATGACAGAGCCAGTCCACGCAACGAAGGACATTTCATAACTTTTAATTTTTATTTTTAAATGAATAAAGCTGTTTAATTTTTCAGCGAAAGCTGTGGATAATATCCATAGAAAATATCATAATAATGTTAAAGGCTAGAGGTATATAAGTGTACACTGAAGCAGGTAAAGCGGAATGTATCATTACCAGAGATTACATGTTACTATGACTAACAGTCGCTTATTTTTTTCTGAGTAAAGTGAAGTCCTGTTTCTGAACTTATCTTAAAGAAATGAGTCACGTGTCTGCGGAGGGAATTCCTATGAATAAAAATTAATTACACGCTGTTAAAACTGAAGACGTTTAAATTGTATTTATTATTACGTCATATAGAACAGTAGTTGCAGAAACCGTAACACATATTAAAACAAGTTCCGAAGCTTAACATAACATGTGACCAGCCTAAACAATGTTCCTTCTGAAAATATCGTGAATGTGTCTAAACAAATATTAGCCTGTGGTTTTGAAGCTCTGAATCCCTATGAGTGGGGTTGCTTTTAACTCTGATGGACATGGTCCAGTAATACAATCGTTCCGGATTGCTTGTCGTCTGAAGAATGAAGCACATGCTGCTGGCTTCCAGCTAGGTCCATGTTTCAACTGCTATGGGAACAAACACGGAATCTTCTGACCGTGACCCGTATTGTAGTCTGCAAATCCTACTACCCGCACTAACAGTTGTTCTAAATCCGACGTCGATAATAAATGTTTTCAAAACTTGGCAGCCTAGTTTCATTTATCAGTGTCAAGAATGTAGTTTTCTCGTAAGGGAATTATTCCAAGGAAAAAATACCATTGTTATCATTGTTAATAAGGAAAGCGTTGGCTCGGAAATGGTTTTACAGGATACAAATTGATTTTTCTTTGTCATAAAATTCTGTGACGTTCTACATCGCTGTTTCTCACAAATCAGAGGCAATTACTTAAAAGAGACTATAAATGATTACTTCTAAACTCTCCAGACCAATCGACGAACCTAGAACTCGTTCTTACTTACCGCCCTCTATGCTTTTAACTCCAATGTTTTATTTGGATTCTGTATAAATACATTAAATATACATGATCATTCCTTTTCATTCCATAGTAATTCATATGAATTTTTAAACCCATTATCTTTTTTTTTTGCATTCTTTGAAATTAACCAGGTAATAAAATGGTATCAACGAGCGTAGTCTTGCACAAACGTAAGACTTCGTCCCTTTCTAGGGTAAAAAATGTCTTCGTAGGAAATGCAATTCTTGAATTTATAAACGGTGTCATAAAATCCTACTTGAATATGCTTACGCCAACGGTAAGAATGGACTTCTGAGAAGATCCCTCTGAAATTCCTATTCGTAATTCGTTAGTCGCAAAAAGAAAATAAAGCAGGAGTTATTTAAATGGCGCAGACGTCTCATAGAAAGCTTGAGCATACAACTTAATACATACACTTGATAATGTTACGCAAGATAATGTTTGCACATGGAGTGAGGAGGGTACAGCCTGAGGAGGGGGTGATGAATAGACAAATATAATTTATATCTTAACTGCGTCATGTTTGTGTTTAGTCAATATAATAATTCTGATCCTAATGAACCAAGTTTTGTATTGTACCATGCCTGTCACGGGGCTCATACTCAGGATGTGAATTCCGTCATGTGGAATCCAGCTGTTCCGGGACTTCTCGCGTCAACAAGTGATGATGCTGAAGTGAAAATTTGGCAGTTCACAGACTAAATATAAAGAATAGCCATTTTTAATGAATTATTATATAGACAAATATACTTCACCACGTCTTTAGAAAATATCAGTCCGACATCTGTTACGTCTGTTTAAAACTCTACTATATTTTAAACTAAACACTGAATAGATATTCGCGTGTCAGTAGGGTTATCCACCTATTAATTACTGCTAAAGAGGTCTTACCATTTGGCGATCTTACAGCGTTAATATCTCGTACGAAATTTGTTACTTTATATACGTACCTCACTAACAAATATTGCAAATGTTGTAATCATCATTTTGTGCAATGTAAATTACATTACCCCGAAAATATATTTTTATAAAATAACGAATGAAAATATCAGCCATGTATTTTTATAGCACATTTTTATAATATGATTTGATATGCTGTATACAAAATGAGAAATGAAAATATAAGTGCAGAACTAGGTACATTATCACCAAATCAGAAAGATATAACAAATGTAAATTGTGGTGAGCGAACAGCATTTTTAAAGATAGAGTTAAATTCGCGTTACTCAATAAGTTATGAACTTTAATCACGTGGCAGCAGAGACACAGGACGAGAGGAGAATAGATTAAGTGATCAATGAATGAGGCTGGAACAAGCAACTGCCTAATTGGTTTGATAGAGCCTACGCAAATTTCCCACGCTAAGCTATTCCTCTGTGTTTTATTTTCGAAACTCTGTAAACCCAGACACGTTAGCAATATTAAAAAATAATATGGCCTAATATTTTCCCGCGGGTCATAAATAGATATTACTATCATATTTACTTAATGTTCATCCTTCAGGGAAACAATATAAAGTGAAAATATTTATATTCTGGTTCTCATTTTGTCTTCATAAAAATTTGTATTTTGTTACTAATGCAGTGTTAAATTTAATTAGCCTCTCTAACAATCAGTAAAATCAACACATGTCCTGGAAACAAAACTTAGCTCTGGGTTTCATTATGATAATAATACCAATTGTTATTTTACGTAAGTTTTTACACTAAATCGAAATATTTGGTAAAATAATATTCTAAATTTTGTGTTCATTAAAGCAAAGTTTCAGTATTTATTAATTCAAAATCAAATATACCTGAAATATACGGGGTAAATTTGTAAACTATGAGGAAGGCAAAAAGTTGTTTACTGGCTCCAATCACCAAATACCGAGAATTATGCACTGCAACTAAGATAAAAATACAATGAAATTAACAGACTACGGCTATACAAACAAATACGAGTGAAGTAATTTATTTTAGAATGTCTTCATTAGTAGTCTTATATGCTTAGCGGGTTAATAAAGTCCATGCTTTTTATTAAATTCCTTGTTAATGAGACAAATGTCAAAATACAAAACTGCAAATCAGTTTCTCCTATATGAGATGCACTACTTTCTTCAAACCTGCGCCTAATAAATCGTACAAAGCTTAAATTCGCTTAAATACTACTTAACAACAATTCAGACCGTACCGAAAAGAAAACACCACACCTCATCATTACCAAGATCAATTTGTTAACGATATTTCAGGAAAAAATTCCTGTTTACAGTGAGAATCATATGAAATACATAATATAATAAAACACTGGTTAACAAAAAGGTTGGACATATAGTTACAATTAGGCTTTAAAGGGTTTAATTCCATGCAACAGAGCCCTTCTTGAGATTAGTCGCCTAGCCGGTCTATTTCCCCGACTTCGCCGAGGCAAAGGCACTGCGCAACATTCAGACATAAGCAGGATCTCTTTCGTTGAGGAGTCAGCCCGCCCCCTCTGTTGCAAGACCACCCCCTGTCGACTCGCAGCAACTGATTATTCGATATATTATTTAAATACCTCCGTACTTGCGTTCAGGGCCTCTTTGGTGTTTCGGATCATTTGTATGCATTTCCTATTTTGCCCATATATAACCACACCACATCATCGCGACTAAATTGATTTCACGATCCTAGCAATATTAAACGAAGAAGACAAATTATGAATCCTCATTACGGTATGCAATAACTTTAATACTGTTACTTTTCCAGTTGGATCAAATTTATCTCTAGTCTCTGCTTTCAGACCGGGTATGGGGACAAATCAGTCTCCTGTCCAATGGGTATCGGGTTCGTTTCCCGGGGGTAAAGCACGGCCGGGGCGTGACGCTGACCACTAACTCCCATCTAGTGCCGAGGTTAAGAATGAGTAGGAGCTATACTACCTATCTCCCCCCAAAGCGCCTACATGGCGTATAGTGAGACTGCATTTTTACTCAGTTCTCGAACCTCTGATTCCGTATCCTTCCGCGAGAACATCAGGCCAATATTCATAACTTAAATGTAAATCAACAATATTTTACATGTTAATCGTATAATTGTCATAGATTGCGTAAGACAATCGTTATTTACTTATGGTAGAAAGCAGAAAAAGCCGACCGCAGTGGTCACGCGGTCTGAGGCATGGAACTCGTGCGCCTGGCCGCTGGGACCGTTGGTTCGAGTCCCACTCAAGGCATGGATGTTTGTCCGCGTCTTTCTGTGTTTGTATAGGTAGAGGCCTTGCGTCGGGCTGATCACTCATCCAAGGAGTCCTACCACTGTTCAAATATATCAAAATTAATAAATAAAAAATCTCGACACTTGCTGCAACCGCCCTTCCGCAGACTGCTTTCTTCTCACTCTGGTTGCCACGGGATCAAACCCAGTAGCGTGCCTGGTTTGCTTGCGGTTACAGCTTGATATAACTTCGGATAATGTGGAAGGATATAAGGAATAATAATTGGTGTAGGGTTTGTCGGCGAGCAAGATTGTCCGACTCTCAGGGAATATATGGGGACTGTGATAGTTGGAGCGGCCGTGCGCCAAGGACGTGAAATCTGTGGGGATAATCAACTGCAGACCACACCGAAGTCACCTTGGAAATATTTCACCTTTTAATTCCTTTCAACAAGTTATTCTGGTTTTTGGGCAGCGCGATGATTCGGCTGTTGTATTTTGTACTTGAAATTTGATGAATCGAGGAGAAACTGTCTGCTTGCCTTGAAGAACCGAACTTTTAGAGAGCGAGCCCCAACGCAACCTCGCTTTTTATATTCCCGCAACGTAACCGTTCTTGAATTTTGAATTGAATATGACAATCCGATTCGTCCCCCAAAAAGTCACTTATGACGTCGGAAACGTGCCGAACAGCCACATTCAAATCCCATTGGTCCGAGTCGTAGTGAAGCAGCGGTCATCTGGCAATCGTTACTTCACACCTACTAGGGCGCCCCAAACCAACGGTCACTAAACCGAATGTCGGGGGAAGAGACTTTCACACGCCAGGATGGCGCCACTCTCTTTCCCAATGTGATACATTGGACAAAGCCAAAACTTAGAAAAATCACTCAAATATTGATGAAGTGAGGTGT